CACAGATATAACACAATTCACTAATTTATCAGCATTCTGGCCTTGTGAAACTTTAAGTAAAAATCTAATGACATTGTTATTAATGATTCTTCTTTTATTCGGATCAAGAACCCAATTATTCACCTGCTTTTCCAACATCTTTAATTCCTTATAAACTTCATTCATTGAAAACAACATCCATCTAACTTTGTTGTATAGAAGCTAATAAATCAGATTAACATAATAGAGTCTAGTGACGCATGTTTTAGTTTTAGAGCCATGATTAATTTTCACCTGGATTAAGTGTTTGGTGGTCATGTCAGTTCATGTTCTTTGCTTGGTGGCCAGACTCATCATCATCCTAAAAAACTGTCATCAGAAATCGTCATCCTGCAGAGGTAATGGCAGCCACCTGCTCTGCTGCTTTAGCTGCTATGCACCCTGTTCTGTCATCTTTAGGGTTTTAGGGCACTGGCATTAGTCAATGCTGGTTTGTTTTTTTAATTCGACATCATCCAGTCTTCCACAGTCTTAAGCTTCCTGCATTTAGCAATTTTACAACTAACAGAAACTCTTGTTCTTCCCCTTTTGATTTTTATTTGTTTTAATGCATTTTTAAGCTTAAAACATCTTAGTGGTTTGTTTGGATTTCCTTTCTAATTAGGTTCAGCTAACCTGACAGAGTTTTCTAAACCTCTCCGCTATTTCAGCTGGCAGTTCTCTGGCTGTTGTCATGCTTCCTGTAAGTTTACCAGCTGCAAAACAGACATGCATTGGTCATTTCTTTTTTTTTTCTTTTTTACAGTGTCCTGTCTGGCAATGTGGCAATAAGAATAATTGTCTTGATGCCAGAAAGTGTAGCAGTATGGCAATTTTTATACTGCTACACTTGTTTCATGCATGAAAATTGCTTTATTATAATTATGCAGGGAGTTTTACAGTTTATATGGACACTGCAATGTAAATAGAGCAGAAAAACAGAAGAAGAAAAATGAAAAAAGAGAAAAAAGAGAAAAGATGAAAGAAAGAGGAGATAGAAAGGAGACAATGAAAAAGCATTTTCAGTCTGCTTCATCACCTGTAATGAGATGAAAAAACAGCACAACCGAAAGACATGGTACGAGACATACAATAAAGCAACACCTTCAAACTATCGCTAAATAGTAATATTATTAAGTGTGACATGTACTCTGTGTAACCTGAAGATATGAATGTGGGGTTTCTATGTGGAAGTGAATTTTTGAGTACCTGGAGCCAAGCACCTGTAATTGTTTGTGAGGGTGCACTTGTGCATGTAAAGTTTTAACCATAGAAAAAAAATGCTCAATAGTGGTTGTGAAGAGCCGAAGAGGCGCCCCCCCCCAGAGCACTGAGTCCAGCGCCGGGAGACCAAAAAGCCCCAGGCGCCCAAAGTGACCCCAAGAGCGAAGGCACCAAGGAGGGGCCAGCCCTGGAAATCAGACCCCCACCAAGGGAGGAGGAGAGACAGCCCTGAGGAAGTCCCCCAGCTGCCGCCATGCTGGCACCGCGGGGACGATCCGCGGGCTCCGCGGTCATTTCTCTAGAAATATAATTTTGAGGATGACAGCCGAAATTTTCCCCGTCTAGATGTAGACTTTAATTAGTGACATTTAATTTTAATTTTTATTATTTTTTTTTTTTTAGAAATGAAAAAATATATATGGTATAGGAAAATCTGTGAAATCTTTTTTTTTTTTTTTTTTGGCCAGACATTTGATTAGTATTGATTAGGAAAGATGGGCACAGTGGGTAGAACTGTTGCCTTGCAGTAAGAAGGTTCTGGGTTTAATTCTTGGCCCGGGTTCTTTCTACATGGGAGTTTGCATGTTCTCCCTGTGCATACGTGGGTTTTCTCCGGGTACTCCGCCTTCCTCCCACAGTCCAAAACAAGACTGAGATATGCACTGACCATGACAGACTAAGCAGGAGAAAATGGATGGATGGATGATTAGGAAAGAATCTTTACTGAAACAGATAACTGACATAATCAGCAGTGGCGTGCATTGCATAACCAACGTAAGCTCACCCGTATTGTGCTAAATAAAATTCCATTGCTAACGCTAAACTGCCAGACAGCTAAAAAAAAAAAATGAGGGTACTAATGCTAAATGGTAACCACGATTGGCAAATAAAGACTGGTGTTTGTATTGTGCACATATATTATTTAATATATATTATTTATTTAAAAAGCATGTTATTGTATTAAAAATGAAAGAGATTAAATAGATATTTTTTTTCTAACAGATACTGTGTAAAATTTTCTTCCAGCTGTTAATGGTGTTCTCATACTCAGGGTGCGAGGGGATGCCATCATCTTGCTAGATTTCAGGGTCTGCATCAGGCCAACATGTGGGAGTACTCTTCATGTAGTGGTAGTTGACAAACATCCTATAAATCCTTCTCTTTACTTCAATTTGATAAGCAAAGTAAGCCCATTGCATGCCTTCAAAAATCTCTTGCTGCGTTGCATATAGGTCAACATGTAGCAAGCCAGCATCATGCCCTGGGGACTGGACAAGACATGTCCATGTCAGAAAGGAACAAAATGGGGATGTTTGTTAAGAAAATTAAAGTTGGAGAAATCCAAATTATCAAACACAAGAATACGTATCTGTTAAAAGAAAATTGTGTTCCCCTTCTAACAGTCAGCGAATTAGCTGATCCATGACTCCACTTAAGAAATGCAAACATTTTTCTTTGAAATAAGGACTAAAGGCTGGAATTCTAATCCACCGAAATAAGGAGAGACAAACAGTAAAAAGAAAGCTGACAGCTGTATCAGTGCTGCTTGGAGATCATCTGAAAAGGGGAAGTAGAGCTTTGGCAGGGGTTGAAAAAGGAGGGTAACTCCTTCCATGGAAGTCTCTCCACCTGGCCTTGTGTTGATGCAGGTGGTCAGCCAGGCGCACAGACTCTGCCTCTGTTTGCTCTCTTTCTGTGGGTTTATTCAGCTCATGATGACCGTGAGTCCTCCCAGCATGAGCTTAGAGACAGTCTCTCACATTCAGGCAAATCTGCATGCTCCCATGTTCTCTGCATGCCTCTGCAAGGCGATGTTTACCTCTGCACACGCTGAAATCTCCGGGCTTTGGTCTTGGCTGTGCGGTGTCTGTGTTTCTGTGGTTGTTTTCACACAATGTTCTGGCTAACGTAGGATAACATCTGCTTCTTGAGTCAATCCGCAACACAATGCCAAACTGTTTGCTTTCGAAATACTTTAACGGCCTTGTTAAGATGAAAAACAATAAAAACATTCATTAAAAAAAATGATAATTTTAAGCTTTTCCAAACTTCAACAAAGTTTTATTTTTAAAGAGGTAGAATCTCCTCTTTCCAAATCTGCTGTGTGATGTAAGTAATGGTGAGTCAGAAAGATAGTGTGGACCACCCCTCTTTCTATCAGTCAACACAGAAACAAAACAATACAAAGGAAGAAATACGTTGTCAAATCAACATTTTTGGTGTAAAAAAAGTGAAGATTGATCAGAACATTCTTGAAACACAAACACCAGAACCTTCTGGTGGCCACATTTATTTTATGTGCCTATAAACTGCAGGCTCATTTAGGGTAAGGCTCTTCAAATAAGGGCTCAGAAAACTTAGAGCTGCCTCAGCAGCGATCAGCCTTGTTTTTCTAGCTCCACTCCTCATGTCTGTCTCATGTATGTAACATCCGATTCAAAAGTTGGCATTTACTCCTTGTTAGGCCATGGAGCTCTCCATAGGTCTTGGTAATGAACTACCTTTTTATTCAGATGATGAAAACATCTGAATGAGTCACAGCTGACTTTGCACACCAATTTAGAACCGGTTTACATGCAAACTCTATTGTTGAAGCTCATCAAGGCGCATGATGCATCGCATTTTAAGCATCTTGAGCAAGAATGAATTTTGTTTGCAGTGTTTGTTTCTGTACTTTTTCTCCATCTATCCATCTTCTTATACGCTTAATCCCTAACGGGGTCACAAGGGGTGCTGGTGCCTATCTCCAGCTGTCTACGGGCAGGGTGCACCCTGGATAGGTCACCAGTCCATCGCAGGGCAACACAGAGACAAACAACCATTCACACACACACTCACACCTAAGGAGAATCTAGAGAAGCCAATTAACCTAACAGTCATGTTTTTGGACTGTGGGAGGACGCCTGAGTGCCTGGAGAGAACCCATGCATGCTCAGGGAGAACATGCAAACTCCCTGCCGGGAATCGAACCCGGAACCTTCTTGGTGCTGCTCAGTGGTGCATTGCTACCCACTGCACCACTGCAGTGGTGCATTGCTACCCACTGCACCACTGAGCAGCCCTCTGTACTATTTCTTTATATTATAATTATTTTTTAAACAGATATATCAATCAATAAATTATAGCAGTAACTACAATGGAAGCTTACCACTAATAGATGAGGAATAAGTACATATCCACGAGTTTCTCTGCGCACCTCTGCCATCCCATGTTAACTTTTTGTCCTGCAGCAAAGCCCATCTCCATATTCTCCTTTTCTTTAAACTTCAAAAAGCATCATGTCTGTGTTCTTCATCCTCAATTGTTAGGATAATTATCATTGAAGATGTGTGAGTTTATTACACTTTGATATTGGCTGCCTGTTGCGTGTCAGAAATGATGTTTTCCACAATAGTTAACTTCTTACTTTGTTGTGTTTGTCTTGCAGCACAGATTAATATCTGTACGCTGATACTGAGCTTTCTGATAAAGTGGCTTAGGGTACAATGTGCTAACATCCAGCTTAAAAGTTGAGTTCGATCCCTCACTCCCACATACTGTCACTCTGGGTCCCTGAGCAAGACCCTTAACCCCACACTGCTCCCCGGGCGCCTTACAATGGCAGCCCACTGCTCCCCAAGGGGATGGGTTAAATGCAGAGAAGTAATTTCCCTCTGGGATTATTAGAGTTTATAAAATACAAAAAAATAAAAATAAAATGTTTTTTAAAATTTTAATCACTCTTGCAAAATTTTTATTTTTTTTCATAGTGTTGAAAAGGTTGGAAAATATCTTTTTATTAACTAAATGAATATTGGTTAGCAGCCATTCAAGTGATTCCCAGCCCGCTAATTTAGCCTTCTGGGTGTATTTTTTGGTTTTCTTTCTGTTTTTCATTATTACTTTCCACCATATTTTGTCAATTTCAACGGGCACCTTTCTCTCTTTACACTAAAGACCCTGTAACACCTTGACGATTTAAACCAGCGTATGCCTGACATACGAAAAATGCTGGCATACATTGGATAAGTTATGGGTACGTTTTGTATAACTTATGAGCACGCTGAAGAACGCTGAAACATGCTAGCACACATCAACATACAGGAAGTATGTCGAGAAACGCTCAAAATTTTTCGACTTATGCCAGCGTATGCCATACGTGGGCCATACGTTAAAGGTAAATTATTTGATCGTTGACATATGTTAGGTGTAAGTTACTCATAAGTTATAGTGTCTAGCTTATAGAAAACCTATGAGTAACTTATGAATAACTTATCAAGAACTCCAATGCATATCAACATATTTGAGGTGTTCTAGACGACCGCTGAACGTGTCGTATTACCAGCGTTTTGGAATGAAAGGGGGTTCACAGGAGGAAACCGTCACTTCTCTTCCATACTGCATCCCCATCATAGGGTGAGCCAGAAGGTGAGTGTGATGGATACTCTCCGCGTTCACGCCCATGACCAACAAACTTCCTAGCAGACATGACACGGAATCTGCAGCGACTGCAAACCTTCTTTCTTTTTCTTTATTCTTTTTTTGTTTTTTGGTGGATGGTAAACAGCAGCTAAATTAATATCGTGTTCAAAGACATCTTTTTATGCAGGCCGGGTGCCTCCAGGCACGTCACAGCTCCCCTTAGGACTAGGGGTGTGGGAAATAATCGTTTTGGCGATATATCGTGATATCCGGCTGCCCAATATAATATCGATCTTTCACTTCTTAGTATCGATTTTTTTTTTAAATGGTTACATAAAACAATGATGGGAAAATGGGCTACCTCTGCACCACCACTCTGGCAGAAAGCGCTGTGGAGCCCTTTAACTGTGCGTGCAGCACCAAATCTGTATTTGAGGCAGTCACAGTGGAAGAAAACCCCAAACAACATGGATAATAATACCTAATCAATATTTTCTGATGAAAATATACAGCACTTGCTGTTTTATCTCATCATTTGATTTTGATAGCTGGGGAAAATATGGCAATATATAGTGATACTGCAATATCGTGATAATATCGTATCGTGACCCAAGTATCGCAACATGTATCGAATCGCAACACTCATGCCAATACTCACCTCTACTTAGGACAATGGCTTGTGCACCATTTCATGGGCATTAAGCCGCCGTGTGTTATGCATAAGTTAGGCTGTCGTTGGACCTCTGGACTCCTTATGAATACGCTATGTATTAGGGGTGTAAATCACACCCATCATGGCGATTCGATTCAGTATTGATTTCCTGACCCAACGATTTGATTATTCTCAATACTCAAGAATACATCATCTTCTTTTCCTCCGCCATGTCTGTCTTACTGTTTACACGACTGTGTGTGTGCATGCGGAAAGAGGGTTTAGGTTTAGCGCCACTGCAGCATGGGAGTCAGAATTACGTCCAGGAGCAAATGGATAAAAATAGACCGGAGGAAAAAAAAAACAAAAAACATATATCGATACTCTTGCAGACGTGTCGATGCATTGGATCGTCGGCTGTTGGATCGATGCATCGATACAAAACGATTATTATTTACACCCCTACTATGTATACACCCAAAATTGAAAAAATACATAGAAATTTCAGCGTATGCCTGCGTTTTAGGAGATTCTGGGACGTGAGGAATACGCTGGCTAAATCGGCAAGGTGTGATGGAGCCCTAAGATTTTTTAAAAATATTATCTGTTTCCTCCGCTTTGTTTGTATTTTGCATCTTTATTTTGCATAAAGTTAAGTAAGGTTGTTTAGATTTTCTCATGTTCCTCTCCTTCTTTTCTGTGTCCAGGATAACAAAGGTTTTGGAATCGGCCAGTTGGTCTGGGGGAAAATCAAGGGCTTCTCCTGGTGGCCTGGTATAGTGGTGACATGGCGGGCCACAGGGAAACGGCAGGCCAGCCATGGCATGAGGTGGCTGCAGTGGTTCGGAGATGGCAAGTTTTCTGAGGTAATAAAAAAACGAGAATGCTTAACAACTGAGGTGGAAAAAATACGTTTTTCATTAATCTTTTAAAACTTTGCGTGTAATCTCTCTGTCTAGGTTTCAGCAGATAAACTGGACTCTCTCACAGCGTTCCCTAAATTCTTCAGTCAGGCTTCCTACACCAAGCTGGCCTCCTACAGAAAGGCCATCTTTCAGGCAGTAGAGGTACATTTTAATCTCTGTCAGAAGCAGCTGATTGCTAGCATCCTTTGTGGTTGCATTTGATTGCATTCATCATCATTATGCAGCTGATAACTTGCTTTGGCTCAGAAGTTTCGAAAGTTATGATTCTTTTTTTTATCTGACTTGGCTGTAATGGCTGATTTCTTTGTTACAACTAGGAGCTTGAGTGGAAAACTAGGATCAAATGTAAACTTATGGGTTTTTTCAAGCTGGAAACTTAGCATCCAGTAGGATAACATAACTTCTCTGACTCCCTGATTTAAGATCCATTATAGCCATTTCGTAATAGTAATGCAACCATACATTTGTAATTTACATTTAAGTATAAACTTCTTTTCTGTTTCAGACTTCTTAGAGGGTTTTTAGCAGTGGTGTGCAAAATCGGTCCTCCAGGGCTGCTGTCCTGCAAGTTGCTAATGTTTCCCCACTTATGAAAAGCCAAATTTCATTGAATTAAAATGAAAAAAAGCATAACTGAACAAGCTGTCTTAAAGTAGGAAAACCTCAAGGAACACTTAAAGATCTTTTGGCCTTAGGAGAGCTCCAAAAATGAACAAATGTGAGGCATCATGACAAGGACTGTAAGTGAGCACATGCCTCTGAAATTGCATAACTCCAAGTAGCATAAAGAATGCTCTGAGTAATCCAACAGCTTTCTGCTATTTTTTTAGTAGATAAGGTTGTAACTACAAGAGTAAATTTTTCAACACAGGTTGTGACCCATTTTGCTGAAACCCTTGTTAAGATGTATTAGATACATTTGAACCCATAACCCTGATGTCATCAGGCCATCAGGTTCTCCCTGCGATCCTGTCCTCCTTTTTTCCTCAGCTCGTTTTTCCTCAGTTGGGATCAGTTCATCCCCTCTATAAAAGGCAGCCTGTTGTCAGGTTTTGTTCCAGTGAACTTTAAACATGCTGTGCAAAAACCTGGCCTCATCCACACTGTTTTAGAAAGTTTTAGGTCCGTTCCTATTCTGACTTTTAATCTTGAAGAAACCTCTTCTTTCTCTGAGGTTTTTTCATTCTGGTCGGTTACCTGGTTAGAAAGTGTTAGAAAGATCCCCAAAGTTGGTGTCAGGACTGTATTTAGGGTTTTATTTTGCTGGGTTCCTTCTCTTCAAAAAACTGACCTAAATAACTAATTTAAAGGGAAAATAAGTTTTAACTCTAGTTGAACTTTGAACTCAAGGTTTTTGGTTTTGGATCCTAAATATTTATTAACAGTTGTGACCTCAGAGCAGTGGCAATTTCTCATTGAATACTAGGGAGACTAAGCCTTTTAGTAAATTTTGTAAACTTATTGGTCAAACACGCATTTTTATCACATTATAAATGCAGTCATTTAACTGCAATAAGTATTCACTAAAAGGTGCCTGATTTATGAGTGTGTTGCTCATTATTCGGCTGTTTATTTCGTTATTCCTCTTCTCTACTCTATGAGAAATCCCCATTGAGGCTCCAGGCTCCATCTATTGAGGTAAGGAGCAAGAAGTAGAGCCCTGATTGAATAACATGCAAAAATATGTCACTTCCAGTGAGGCTAAACCTCTTAGGGGGTCTATGGGTCAGGGGTGGGTCATGACGCTGGCTGCTTGATGCTGATTGGCAGAACGCTACTCTAGGAGTTTTGACTTACAGTGGCCAGACAGCGAGGAGGTTTTCCTTATGATACAGAACATCTTGTGTTGAACTCATGCCATGATTTGCGGAGTGCTTCCCAACAGCTGTATTTTGCTGTTGTAATGATGTGTTTACCGTTAGCATTTGAGAATGCAATACGTTATGGATGGATTTCATTAACACCATCGAGCCTCCAGTGCTTCAGAGCCATTGCTCTGCTAACAAACTCAAAAGTTACTGTGATAAAAGCTGATGGCCAGGCAATAAGAAACACTGACTGTGATACAACTGGGTTAAAAGAACCACATGTAAATTAGGAGGGTTAGGGTTAGGACCAGAGAATCGTCCTCATCTGTTGGGGATGGCAAGTTTTTTTTTGCTTGTGGCAAACTGTAAATATGATGTCTTTGAACTTTTAATAATTTTTTTTTTTGCATGGTTTTTGGACTTTTGGGTCGAAGTTGAAGGTTGGAAGCAGTAGATATTTTCTTAGCCTAGTAGAATTTGGAGTTCTGCTTAAACTTAGCTTTGTTTTGGCATTTACGAATGCTGTCTTCTCCCCCGTCTAAATCTAAAAGTAGTAAATCTAGCAAACTTGTAGCTGTGTCTCCTGAAACACACATTCTATCAGGAAACAACAGATTTACCAAAAAGAGGCTTTAGATTTACACTCTAGACAAACTTTAACTCTGCACGAAGTACATAGATGAACCGGAGGAGACAGAAGCTTATTTCAACAGGTTAACCATCCTACTGATCAATGATTACCATAAGTCCCAGGGTGTCTGGGGTGCCAAAGGTGAAACATTCTTCTGAGGAGCTGAATCTTCTCAAATAATTTGGACTTCCTTCCATTTCTCCTTCATTTTCAATAGAATGTAGAATAATGACTATAAACAACACATAAAGATCACAAGAATGGCTCATCATTAAAACGTGGTCTAGAGGTTGATATCCAACATGTCAGAGGATGAGAGAAGTAAGACAAGCAAATAACACAAATGTTTCCTAAAGTGCATATTTCTGTAATTATCAGACCAGGTTTGTTCTTGCACGTTAGATTTAGTGTTAAAACGGGTTTCTCCTGCTATCTTTGTGTTCTGCATGCTGGATTACTTTGCAGCGTCAGGTCAGATTTGTTCTTGTAATCAGGTGAATTGTAGATGGAGTGACGTTTCTTTTGCTCACTCAGATGGCCAGTGTCAGGGCGGAGAAGACGTTTCCACCCTGTGAGACGGACAATCCTGAGGACCAGATCAAACCCATGCTGGAATGGGCCAACGGTGGATTCCAGCCCAAAGGGGAAGAAGGACTCAAACCCCCATCCAATGCCAGTGAGAACAACGCCTAACACTTGGACATATCTTATGATCATGATGCCCCCCGTTTTAAGTATCTTGTAGAGATATCTGACTGTCTGTTTATCCCTGCAGACGGTAACCCTCTGGACCATCAGATCCTCAATGTTTCCCTGCCAGAATATTTCCCAAGCGCAAAGCGACCCAAAGTCAGCCCCTTCAAGACCAAGGCTGCGCCCGAAGAGCCCTGTAGCAGAGGTAGGTAGAGCTCAAATGCTATAGTTACAGCTTAGAAATACTGAATCTAGAATCCAATAAGTGGGATTTATGTTCTTGGGTTTGTTTTCACATTCTTCCATCTTCCAGAACAAATGGTGAATGAAGTACAAAAAAAGAAAAGAAGTATAGAAGGTACAGTCTGGGTGCATCAGCTCTTTGTGGTTTTTTTGGATTTGGTGTATTAATATGATTTAAATCTGTTTTTTCGCTTTTCAGAGTTCTGTCTCTCGTGTGGAAAGATGAGAGCAGCAACCTTCCACCCGCTGTTTGAAGGAGGCCTGTGCCAAACTTGTAAAGTGAGGTTTGTTGCAGATGGGGATCTTTAGATCTACGAATGGAAATGTTAAAATGCAGGTGTCTATGTGTTTAGGACGTGTTCCTGGAGATTTCCTACATGTACGACGATGATGGTTACCAGTCCTACTGCACAGTCTGCTGCGGAGGCAGAGAGGTTCTGCTCTGCGGCATAGCCAACTGCTGCAGGTCAGTCCCACACAGAGAAAAGCTTCATCCACATCCCAAAATTTTAGTAGCAACACGGAACATCAGCAAAGAGAAAGAGATCAAAACGATCTTGTAAAAAACATTTGTGTCTTTATTATTCAATCAAAAAAGAAGTTGCTTCAAACAAACAAACAACAGAATCAATAAAAAAAGTAACTTCAATGAAAAGATAAACGTTTTCATTAATAGAAAATAGTTTTTGAATGCAAATAAAAATA